GCGCGAGCGAAGCGCGCGCACTTCACGCGCAATTTTCGGGGTACTGTACGTGGCCTGACAACCTGAACTTAATAATCTTGTGTAATTCGATAGTTTGCAGTGCGCCTTACCGCGACAGTGGTCTTTCCACCAGACTCATAATCATGATGTTGACGATCTCCTTGCCACATCGCACACGGCATGCCAAATATAGCCGACAAAAATGGGAGGACCACTGCATGACACGTAGCTGCATCACCTGAATTTGTAATTCTACACTTTGTTCGCTGTGGACTCTGGAGCGTGTCACAGGGGCTGGGTTTGGCGTGGTGCCCATCTCAGGATATTTGTCAACCGCGGAGCCTCCCCTCATTCCTTTATTTCTTCATCCGTCCTTCTTTCCCTTCCTTTTTCTACTCTTCCCTTGTCCTTTCCATTCTCCTTTCAACTGCTGGACCAGTAAATACGATAAGAAAATACCTCTAGACACTCGCAGCGAGAGCATGTCCGGTTGACAGAACCCCTGCAACCCACGGTCCCACACGTCTATCCACAAGTTTTTGAAGCAGCACAAAGAGATAGCAACTGGTGGAAAGTTGGCCGGCGCCGAGCCAAATTCTGCCCTCCCCCTGATGGGCCACACTATCCGCAACGAACAAGAATATAGCTACGTCACGTCATCATAGAGAACTTAACCTAGTGGTCATATTAGGTCAGTGGGAAGGGGTCATATCTCCGCTTCTGCACACTCACATTTGTGATAGTTGATTCGGATTGCGTTTAATTCCGGATAGCTTAGGCAGCGTTCATACTTCGCGACAGCAGCGGCGATCGCCGAGGTCGCCGCTGCTGTCGCGAAGTATGAACGCTGCCTTAGCCAACCAAGCGCCTTTCTAACAAAGACGGTATATTGGCACCAGATTCGTTTTGGAGGATAAGAACACTGACTTGTACATCGGCTGGCCCCGCAAGTCATTGTATAGGCCACATCGCATTCAATAAGCCACTACGATTCTGAATGGAAGTAGAATGCGTGTCACACCTCAAAGAGGGAATAAGCGAAGGCGGAGCTCTGTCCTTCAACCTTTCCACGCCTCCCCCAATTTTCTCCATTTTACCACTCCTTTCGCATCCAACAATTGCTGTCAGGGAGATGCGGAGGCCGTGACCTTTCATTTGGACATGAGTGATGCGTTATTTTTTTTGGGGGGGGGATGAAGGGGTGTGGACTGGAGCGCAGCAAGAACACCATTTCTCGCCAATTGTTGTGGACTCAGGATGGCACCATTGATAGAGAAGGCCGCCTCGCCAACGCTTCAGTTCAAGCCCTGTCCGCCCCATGGGTATGTGACAAGAGGATCGTAATTTGCCGCGCTGCTGGGCGTCGCGTGCGACGTCCCGCCCGCAAAGGACGATGGTTTCAGGCAGTAGATGGCGACAACATGCAATTAAGGACCGAAAACAGTAGAGTGTCTTGATGAGGGGTCTACATGAGCGTCGGTGCTTCATTCAAGGTTAAAAACCGTTATGAACGCCGCGCATGCGTGCGGCGGAGCGGGCAAATTAGCGATCGCTGCGTTTACCGTCTCCCCGCCCATAGTTTTGGCAGGGATCACGAGTGTCTGCGCTCTCAGTCTGATATTGCGGCGGGCGGGGACGTTTTTGAACGGGTAATACAGATGAAATCCTGCAGGAGACGCACACAACAGCCCGTGTTGATAGCTGTAGTAAAGACAATATCGACTGTTATCAGGAAGCTTCACCTCATTCCTAAGCGTTTCGCTTCGTTCTCCTGTCTGATCGACGAACTCCGTTTTGAGCGCTCCGCGTACTCCATCTTTTTCCACTTCGTACACAGCACCAAAACCTCCGGAGCCTATCTTTCGGATTACCTGAACGATGGAGTAACAGAGTGGCATCACCTCCGTGTGGGAAAAGTACACTTGCAGGTAGGCCGGAGCGGCGGATATGCCAGCAGAATTCCACTGCGAACAAGACATAGAGGCTTTGCAATGGGAGGAAGAATCTAGCCTCAAATCATGTGACGACCACTCTTGCAATGGCGGCCGGTGGCCAAAATCCTGGTGCCATAATGAGGCAGGCAAAAAAACGACTGTACATAACATAGATGCTAACGTTCAGTCAGCAAATAATGGCATCACGCGTTATTTCAGGCTTAGGCACTGAAGACGATGTTGACATATTTCCTAAAATCAGTGAACTAAGTCAAAGGCCAACAGAAAAGAAAAATTCCAAGGAAAAGACAATCCGAACCAGCCAAAGTTCCCGCGGCTCACGTGAATGAACACCTAGAATGAATAGGATGTTTGTTGCTCTTGCGGAGTGGATTGGTATCATATCATTCTGAATTCATAATGTTGTTGTGGGGTTATCCCCTACGGATAAGGTGTTCAAAATGTATTTTTTTTTTTTCGTGTTTCGAACAGCGGGGTTTCTGTTCCAGTACTTGTACCTGCAATGCCTTGCACTGCACATCGAAGAAAATTATTTCCTACGGAATCATCTACTAATCGAAAGTCGGATTCATTCCTGGACTCCACTTCAATGGGCTTCAATCGGTATGACGGCGGCCCACTTTTCCAAGATTTTCGTAAGTGTTCAAATGGTAGCGTACACGAGTGGGGTTTGTCTTCTGACCACCCACAACTGGTCGCGCTGGTTGGGTGCTACTGGGACGGGCAGGAATGAATGGTAGAGTTGCACCAGCATCAGGTCGGCAGCCATGATGTCCTATCGGAAGGCTATGCTTCTTATCATTGGTTGCCTGGAAACCAGAGGGACTGGTTGAAGACAAGGTGGTCTACGAAAGTCACCTTGTTTTGAAGAGGACACAGAAGGCTGAGCAATGCCCCAGAATGGCCTTGCCTATCGCTGACAGAAGACGGACTAGTCTTCTTAACGTCACGTCCAAGCTGGTGATATCCGATTATTTGGCTTGCCTTCTTCGATGTGCCGATCCAGCCTGTACGCGGTCCTATCAGGCTCTAAACACATACACTTCTTATCCTTTAGACGGAGTAGGCGTGGCATTTGAATATGGCACAGAAGGGAGACGGGCAAGAGGATCGTAATTTGCCGCTCCGCCGCGCGCGGCGACGGGCGCGACAGTTTCTTAACTCGTGTTAACCTGTCAATTGGAGCACCGGAATTCACGTAGACCCCGTAATCGTACACATTTGAGGTTCTGATCTGCTTTTTGTGCCATCCTCAACCTGGAACCATCGTTATTTGCGAGCGCAACGTCGCACGCGACGCCCACCAACGCGGCGAATTACGATCCTCTTGTCACATACCCGGCACAGAATGAGTCCCTCGTGAGATGTGTCAGTTCGAGACAACTGTCATCTTGTTCTGTGCTGAGACAGAGGCACGACTACAATTTTGTCGAGGTGAAAATATCCTCAAAAGCACAACTGCCGCCACGGAAAGTTGAAGTACGCAGCCACGCCTACCACATCTCAGGGATTTTGAGTGTAACTAGAAAAACATCTTGGTTCATTTCCGGTCAGCGTGCTCTCTCCGTACGAAACGGGCTATCAGCAGAAGCACTCCCGTCAGCCAACTTTTATTGGATAAGATCTTTTCGTAGCAGCGAAATCGAGAAGGGCGTTCGGCTAATTGGTCGTTTTGA